AACAGAGGAGAGAAGCGCAGAGAGAGGAGAAGCGCAGAGAGAGGAGAAGCGCAGAGAGAGGAGAAGCGCAGAGAGGGTTTCATTCATGTGTCAGACTAGAGGCTCTTTGTTACTGCCAGAGAGGAGAAAGCCGGCCTGGAGAGAGGACGAGGATCGCCCTCGCCCGCACGACCACTTGTGCTATTGTGTTGCAACTGAAGGGATGGTCTGTGGGTTTGTTGCATTCTTGTCTCCATCATATGCAGATACTGCACAGAGGGAATTTAAAGAGGGTGCCATGTTGATTCTCAGGGTTGTAAGTCCAACGTTATTGCAGCGATTATTGATTAATAGGCCACATTTAGTAATCGTTACACCTCAAATCACATAGAACTCATCTGTTCGTATTGTGTTCTGTTCATGTGAGGAGTAAGCAGGAAAGTATTCACATTGTTAAACCTTTAAGTAGTTTACATACAACCAAAACCATCCCCAGGGATGGATAAGTGGGGAAATCAAATGATATGCATTATATCAACACTTTCCTGATACCCTATCTCACTATCTAACAGCAGCCATTCTTAGTTATTCTAGTTAAAAAATAGCCTCTGCTGATACCATAAGCAAAGCTCATAAAATCAATTTCACGATTTTAAAAACACAAATTCAAGTCACAGCTACTTTGCATGATTCTCCCCTACAGTGGTGTGGAGACTATTTTACGAAACACAGAGAAGATGCAGTTTAGAACAATTAATTTCACTTATGACAGCCGGCATCTCAAGAGGAGGATCCTCCGTGTCAACATCAGTCCAAGAGATGATAAAGTGGGCAACAACGCACCACCAAGCAGAGGCTGTGCATGTTCCTACAAAGAACGACACCTTGAAATAATCCTGAGCAGATATAATAAACCAGATTTTCTCTTTGACACTTAAAAAGGTGCAGAAGGTCTGAAATTCAAAACAGAGCACGGTGGCTACTTTTTCTGTAGTTGCAACTTCCAAAGGAAACTAAATACAGGCACATAGCATGAAATATTTACACACCTGAAACATAACCTTTATTCTGTAGTTTCAGCCTAATATAGATTTACGGGCTGCAATGATTCATTTCATTGTGCATTAATCGGTTGATTATTTTCTCGATTAGTTGGTTGGGACATAGATTGTCCGAAAATGGTGGAAACATGTCGATCAGTGTTTCCCAAAGCCCAACATGACGTCGTCAAATGTCTCGTTTTGTTCACAAGTCAAAGATGTTACGAAAAGAAACCCGAAAATATTTACATCTAAGAAGCTGGAATGATTTTATTAATAGTCCTGTAATAGAACAGAATCACTTTGCTATGTGAAGACATGGAGTCACTAATGAATGTTTAGTCCCCAAAATGGACATATTAAATATGAAATGAATACACAGATCACAAATGATGGGGACCTTGAGTCTTTGGCACTCTTAATACATGCAGCATATATTAAAAGGAAAACAAATATAACAATGTAAAGTTTAAAATCCGTAAAGACGACAAACGGTGACATGAACGGTACACGGATGCATTTCTAGCAGCCGACCATGTGAGCTTGACTTCAGGTGAAGCCAAAGTTACATTCCACACAGTCACCCATCTCCTGTGTCACCGAACAGAGGAGCCACGGAGCTTTACATCAGTCGATGGTTTACAGAGAAGCCAGAAGACTCAGTGGAAGGCAGCGCTGGGATGTTAAAGAGCGATAATTAAAGTGATATTGGAGCACGTGTTGCATCGGGGTTTTCCCCATCTGCATATGCAGTGCACAGTTTACAAAGCAGACTGTTTTTTATGTAAAGTCATTACATAGTTATAGGATGGTCATAATGCTCTAATCTATGCACTCCTTTGTTTCTTTCTGTGTGTTAACGTTGATATTTCCACTTAATATAGAGGAGCAGGGAACACTCATTTGCATTGTGGAAATCACCTATAATCATCCTACATAAGGAGATGTCATGTGTTAAATAAGAAAACTGTCTTTGAGTAAATGTGTACTTTTAATATTAACTGCCTGCTAGCTCAGCAGTTTCCCAGCTAAGGCCGTCCCAGTGTCGACTGAAAATGACAGAGTGGCTGGATACGTCGCTCGATAGTATTTGTTGCAACCCGATTGAGAATTAACGCCACACTTTGCAAATCCTTGCAACTTCTCGGCATCTCGTTTTAGGTTGGCGAGACCAACAAAACCAGAACAGGGCTGCTTCCTGTAAAGCTGTGGTCTGCTTACAGCACAGGAGCTCACACAAAGCGACTGCACGTTGCCACCTGCCATAAAAGATGAAGGAAACGAGTGACTAGGAAAGAAAGTCACACATTAACAGAGTACAACAGAGACCCAGATATGTTTCTCAGGAGCTGGCAGAACAAACGAGAGCTAAAACACCAGCGACCATTTGGAAGTTGACAGGTAGTCAGAATAAGGTCTCCGGTGGTTTCTCTGGCCTCTTCACCAGGACCTTTGTGGGGTGCGAGAAGCAACCTGTGTGATAAGTGTGTGTGATCGTGTGGGCTGACAGCGGCCGCCCGGTGTTTTATCTGAACCACTCTGGTTTTCATTCGTTTTTTTTCGGTGCCACAAACTAACCAATTAGATTATAGAAAGCTTCATAGGGTTGTGAAGTAGGGCGTTGATTCTCAGTGGAAATGGGAGCAGCCCTTTCACATCATTATTATTAGTCCTTTGTTTCAGTGTAGAATATACTGCATTCTGCTGCTTTGAATGCTAATATAGGTGTTTCAACAATAAACAAAAAGCCAATGTAAAGAAAGTCAGGGGAAGTTTTTCTTCCCATTCTGAAGAGCAAAGATGCCACATTTTCTGAAGGATGCTGTGCGTGTACCGGCCACTTATTTCAATTAGCCACTGAAAAAAAGAAAAATTTTGAAGTGTGATAAAACTGCGCTTATGCTTGGTTTTCAAAGCAAGAAAAAAGAAAAGCAATGAAATGAAGAAAATAAATGTTGTGAAGTTCACTGCCTCCTGCTCTTCAAAAACACTTTGATATTGTCAACCGAGACAGGTACGACCCGCCGAGCAACGACGAGGCAACCGAAACGTCTCAGCAGCAGAATAAGAGAGAATACAGTTAATGAGTGGCTGTGTGTTTAGGATACTATTACCATACCAGTTTATATATTAACAGTTAGGTATTACAAGGACGAGGCTTTGAAAGGGTTCAACTCCACATTCTCAACTTTACTTTCACTTTGAACTGAAGCAGACATACTGTCGTACCGTCGCACTACAGAAGTGTAGTGTGAGGTACAGCTCCTTTACAGCATAATGAGCTGCTTCTTCTGTTCATAACTCCAGCCCGCGTGTCATAAGTCATCACAACCGCTGTTTGAGGTCACGCTAGAATATTTCAAGACAATCCTCCGGAGGAAACTATGTTGCATTCAACCAGATACAGTGGAGGACTCGCACGACCGAGATACTGCTAAAGAGAAGAGTCTGGCCTCTGGTAAATCAGATTATGAAGGAGCCGAGGATGTGGAGGGTGGTGAGCATAATGGAATGCTTGGAGCCATCGCTCAAAGCCCTAAAATGACACTGACCATGTTAAACATGGAGTCCCAGGGGAACAGACGGAGCCGCACACTGATATTTATGTCAAAAGATATGCCCGGCTGACTCTCCGGCTCAAGGAAATTCAAAAAGTAATTAGAAGCCATCTCTCTTTGGACTGTGCAGCTGAAAACAATACCTCCTTGTGATAGTCATCATATTTTCCGTCCTTAAATCTAAAGCCACTAGGCAGTCGCATGTTCTTCTGACTCTCGGAACAAAGCCGTGACTAAGGAAGCAAGCTATTTGAGTCATCTCTATCAAAGTATTCCACTCAATGTTTAGCTTTTATTAAAAAAACAAATTCTATATTTTCTCTACTAAAGGAAAACCCCACAAATGTCCCTTTTTCAACATTTTCTTTTCATAACCAAAAGATTATTCGATATTAATGAAAATTGTTACACTATAAAATACAATGTGTCAGTTTACATCCTAGGCTTAGCATGAAAAGAATATGATGTAGTTGCCATCGCTAAAATCTTTCTTGTGGTGCCCATGAAGGCCTGGTGGTTGGATGATTAGTCATGATAAGTGTCCTCACTACCTCACCGTGCGGGTTGGCATTGGAGCAAACTGGACTACAGACATGGAGGATGAGCCTCCCTTTTTCCAAAAAAGCACTCCATTGTGTTGCCACAGTGACAAAGCGGTTTTGCTGGTTCCAGCTCCACCTCTCTCTTCCACTTCCTTTCCTCCCACCTAACCAGCCAGACTCTGTAAGAGCATGGCCTTCCTCTCCTTCACGCTAAACTTCCTAGTTACCTGTAGTTTCATTAATTCTCGTGCAGGTGCTGCAAAGTCATTTCATAACTCGGGGGAAGCCAAAGGGCCATCAGTGCTGCAGACATTCAAAGCTGGATAAGGAATGTAGGGCCAACAGGTATTAGACAAAACACACACACACACACTCTGCCTGACCTGGATATGTCACAAAAAGCACCAGCTGATTTGCTTCAACAGCTTTGCTGCCATGGTCACTCTCCTGAAGTAGCATTCTGTCTTATTTCATTAAAAACCTAATAATTGCATGTGGATACACAATTAGACCATCATTTAAATTGTAGGAGGCATATGAAAGTAGACAAATAAAGTTGTTTGCACTGAAACTGAAACAGCCTCCAAACACTGTAGCTATCTGATACACAATGCATATAAAGAATTCACCATTTCATATTAGGGCAACGAGAATAAAAGTAATCTAGCTCGTGACATTTCCCAATGTGTGGCTCTCACCATAAAGTATTCCACTTAATTTTGTGTTGCAAGAGCATCCACGCCTATTTTTTTATTTTCTTCGCAGATGAGGATGATGTCAGACTTTTGCAAACATTTAGATATCACTTGACAGTAGCCCTCCCCCCGCGTGACAGCGTGCTATCTAAAGGCCCCATCCTGAGCTCTCTGTAATCAGCTTACCAGGTTGAACACCGTCTCCACAATGTCTCGGTTGGAAACTTCCCCAACTTCCACCAGGCCAGCAAGCACGGCGAATTTCATCTTGATCCCCCTGATGGGCACTCCGGGGTTGAGCGCCATGGCGCCCGATCTCCCGTCCTTTCCATCACCTGGCTGCGCAGCGCCCGCTGTCTCCTCGCTAGCCATTTGCTAAGGAAGAACGGGACAGGTGGTGCGTTCACAGGTAAGGCACCTGTTCACCCTTCCAATGGGGATGGTGCAGCCGATCGTCGGGAGGAGGAGAAAGAGGGCTCTATCTGCCCTTCAGCTGGGTGTTGTTGACACACAAAGCAAGCGTTTTTCTCCCCATCCAAAACAGTTTAGCTAAAGTGGGCAAAACAAGGCGCAAAGATAGCGTGTTCGCCGTTGACACTGCGGGACTGGACGTGTCGCCGCTTCACTCCACAGTGAACTACTCCTCTCCCCACTGGTCCGTAACTTGATCACAGACGGATGGATTAATGTCGTTCAAAAGCCGCGACGAAGTCCGCTGCAGGTAACACGGAGGGGAGAGCAGGTGAAGAAGAGCTCGCCCTTAACCTCCGGTCCCCTTCTGCTCGTTCAAATGACTTTAATATCTCCGTACAGCAGTGGAAGTTCCTATTGTCACTGAGTCCAGACACTTGACAGGTATCGCGCTTTGGCAGAAGCGTAAAACTCACAAACTGGAGAAGGGGGGGGGGGGGGGAAGTCCGTCAGCAGCTCTCCGGCAGAAGTCGACAAAAAGGACGGCTTGCCCGCTCGGTCCTACCCGGCAAAAACTCCTCAGACTTGCTCAAACGTCAACGTTAACCCAGCTGCGCTGCATTCTCTTCCTGATTTACCCCGGTAGCTTCAGCTCGTCACCGCCATGACAGTGTAGCCCTTGAATGAGTGACGCATGCGCAGTGAGGCGCAGTCTATTCAGCTCATTGGCAGGTGTGTGCCGCTCAGGTGGCTCTCCGGCACGACACGCCGGGATTCAGTCACAATCACCTGCGCTGCCATGTTTATTCAGTAACAGCGACTTACGTTTCATCCTCCTGGCAGGGTTTATGAAGGCAGTGGTGCAAAATAACGCAATTACTCAAGTAGGCTACTGTACTTGAGTACAATTTTGATGTGTACTTATACTCCACTACATTTCAGGGGATAACATTGTACTTTTTACTCCACAGAATTGTCTCACAATTAAAGTTACTAGTTTCTTCCTACATAACAAATACGATATGCTTGTTGTAGAGTATGATGCAGTGTTGTACTACTAGTCTACCCAGTAGTATACAAACTATCTATAATTGGCTCAGCAATGACAAACTTTAACATTGTTATGCTCCTGTGATAAAAACAGAATAATGTATTAAATATTCTTAACACTTTGAAAAAAGCCATTTTGCATAATGAGTACTTTTACTTTTGATACTTTACTGTAAGTACACCTTGCTAATAAAACTTCTGTTATTTTACTTCAGTAACAATTTAAATGCAGGACTTTTTCTTGTAATACTATTTTTAAACCATGATATTTATGCTTTTACTTTAGTAAAGGATCTGGGTCTTCCATTGCTGTTATTTAATGCTACTCTACACTAAAACTCCATGAGATATAAAATATTGTATGTTTTACTGCGCTACATTTACCTCAATGCTATACTTACTTTGCAGAAGTTTTTACATTGAAAAGATCATAAATTAATTTAATCTGATGCAATGCTTTAAACCACATAACTGTATATAAGATAAGATCAGCTTTACTGATCCACTACAGGAAAATATGTCATCACAGCTGAAGTACTACAGCTGCATACTAGATAAGTAAGTAAAACAAAAATATGGATGAATACATTCTACACATACGTATGCACATGAGTACTTTTACTTTTGATACTTTAAGTAGATTTAGCTGATAACACTGTTGTACTTGTATCTAAGTAAAGGTTTGAATGTAGGACTTAAACTTGTAATGGAGTGTTGTTACATTGTATTACTTCTTCTACTTGCGTAAAAGGCTCTGAATACTTCTTCCACCAAAGTTCAGTGAGAATTTCCTCTGACACACTTATGTGAAAACAGGCAGCCATGAAGATAAGAGAACTGACTTCTGCCACTAATATAATATTTTTGTATTAAGAACTGAAAAGGTCATGGCAGAACAATAAAAAACAGTACTTTCATATATTGTTTTATATTTTTGTTTGTCAATTTTTCTATGTTCTATTATGTCTCTTGAGTTGCATTGTGTTAATTGTTATGCACCAAATCACCATGAGAAATCTCTTGTATGTGCAATACTTGACAATAAAACTGCTTCTGATTCTGATTTTGAATAAATCTTTAACCCAAAAAGTAGATATTGTATGAATTTAGAAGATCATTCAGCTGTAGAAAAGCACACCTCAGAATGTGACAGATGAAAAAATACCATAAACTACTAACCCTTAAAAGGAAACTTCTATTTTTAGGTAGTCTAATATGCTGAACAAGCACCAAACACTGATTTGTGCTTTGACAAAAATATAAAGAGGGCGTTGAAATGTAGTTCGAACTTTGTTTTTCTGCAGCACAACAGCACATTGACAGATGTCTGCATGCCCAGGCAGTTGAAAGCCAACATTAAAGCAAAGTGACAGTTCTGCTTTGCTTGCCTTTTCAAATCACCGCCATCAACCCAAGTTATGTGAGACGTTTACATAGCTGCATGGACGAGAGGTACCAGTTTCATGTCTGTTATTGCATGAAGGAAAATCCGATTAATTATGATCTGCACATAAACAATGCCCACTTGATAAGTAGTTATCTGCTCCCTTTGTCGACTCATCCTGGTGACTTGGTATTGGCTCTGCAGGACGGCTGAGCAACTATGCGTGTTGTTGCCACAGAGGCAGCTGGCGTCACTGTTACCACTGACCTCCCATAAGTGTAGCTGAGCCCTCGGGGACGCTGGGCATCATGGAAGCCAGCAGCTCCACCCAAGAGACGCAGGCCTCGTCTCTGATGTAATGACCTGAAATCAGAAAGACTTGTTCACTGCAGCCCAAAGGAAGACCTTCTTGAATACGGCCTTGGAAGGCTTTCATTGACCTTTGAGTTGAACATGGACCCTGCCTTATTATTATTCTAAGCTCTATAGAGATAATTAGACTCCAAGATTGAGACATTCAGTGGCAAAGTTTTACTGCAATCATATTTTGCTCTCTTCATGCCATCCTGTTCGTAGGTCTCACTATGAGAGCAGAAGATTATCATTTCTGCAAATGATTTAGTGTCAAATAAAACAGTTAAAATCAATGACAACTTCCCAAGAGTTTTACTGTAATATTGTGTCGGACTAAAGCTTGCAAGATTCCCTCTAAACACACTGAAAGCAGAGGAAAGTACATTAATGAGGACAAAAGGGAATTCCAAGCCACCAATATAATTGTGATGCTTGTATTAAACAGAACAGCAGACATGTTAGATGAAATAAAAACTATTTATAAATAGGCGTAAAAACAAGAGGAAGAAAACATCTGCAAGCTAAAAAAAAATAGCCGTATGCTGATGTTGTTGTTTGTAAAGTCTCAAAACATTTTAGGTGATTTTACTTTTTTTAAATATTGGTAACACCACCAGCTGCGTTGGAGAATAAGAAACTTGATAGACAAGTTAGGGTGTCTCTGCTGCAGTGTCTCCACCTCTGTCTAATGACAGTTCCACTTCTGAAATTTTCAAAACAGTCTTGCAGGCACAGAGACACTGCCTTTATCAGACTTTTGTTACTTGTTTGGATACGAACACATACATGTGTTTACTTCACCAATGGGTCTGATCAACAGTCATTTAACAGTCTGGAATATTACACTATGAACACTTTTTTTATTCTGATTTGATTTTACCAACAGACAAAATTCTTACCTTTGTTACAATAACAGTGTGGGTGGATAATAAGCTACACACCCTCATGATGTGTTTACACACTGAGAGACTGGTTCTACCGGCTCAGAGATCACGATGTTGGCTTTTCTTTAATGATTTAAGTAATCATACCACCGTTACTGATCACTTTAATAAAAAATAAGTACCAAATAAAAACAATATATAACATGATATGCATGGAAGCAAATATAGGCTGTGACAGTGTGATTTTTTTGTGAAATTTTTTGTGAAATCTTGTGAAATTAAATCCATATTAAATAATGATGAATTTACAGCTTTGAAATGTTTTACATATTTTATTTATTTGGTTTGAATTCCCCTTTTTTAAACTCTCAGTAGGTAATTTGTTTTTTAGTTCCAGAAACTTGATACCGGCCTACGTCTCTAGAGGAATTCAGAAACTGAAATGATTTTCCTGTTTTTCCGTATTAATTGATTTCCAAATTCAATTCAATGGCTAATATAGAGTATTCCTCCAATATCAGTGTATTTCTTATTTATTTCAAGTCTGTATTCCACTGTATGGAATGGGGGTTGTTTGTTTGTGTAAAAGGATGAAACAGGAAATTTCACACTTAGGTATTCAGCTGCTTATTAGATCAAAAAATAGCATCTATTTGCTTTAAATTATTTACTCGGTTATTTCACAAGGTCCATGCCATTAGAATATGTTTTTTTTTACCTTTTACCAGGAGAGGGCGCCTAAAGAAACGTCTAGGACTCGCGAGAAAAGACAAATCTCACGACAGAGCTCGTTCTCTTTAACTCTCGCGGTATTTCTGTCTTCCTCCTCTTTCACTCCCTGTAGCCAACATGGCAGTCGGCAAGAATAAGAGGCTGACCAAAGGCGGCAAAAAAGGTGCCAAAAAGAAGATGTAAGTAAAAAATTCTTACATTGTTACACGACACAAGCTTTTCCCTTTTCACTGGTGTCACGTTGGTACGAGATGTGTGAAGGATGAAGCCGATTTCAAGTAGATGTTATTGGGTCAGCGCTAGTCTCGTCACCGGCCTCTGTGGCGCTGGATGAAGTCGCAACATGCTGTGTTCCTTTTAACTCTTGAGCTGTTGTATTTAGTCGTAATTCAGTTCACATATACTTGTATGGGTTTTTTATAAATGCATATTATAAAGCTGTGGCAGTTTGGCCGCGTAGTTATTACACGTAATATTATTTGCTATAAGCTGCTAACGTTGCATGCTAGCTTGGATTTAGCCGAGCTTACCTATCAACATGGCAGCCGAAAGACACAATTAACTTGGGTGATTGCTCATCAGGTTAATGTTGTACGACATGTATAAACAACCCAAGTGTCTAAATTGTATAATCACGTTGTTAATTGCCGCTAGCGAATCGATCAGATGGAAGTAAACCCTATCGGTGCCCTTTGCAGTGCGTGCTGCTTTGCTAGCAGCAAGTGTGCTCTGAAGCTCACTCTGCAACCCCGTCCGTGTGTGGTGGTGGACCGGTATATCTGCTCAATGAGTTGGCTCTGAGTTCTTGTCTCTCTCTCTCTCCTGCAGTGTCGACCCCTTCTCCAAGAAGGACTGGTATGATGTCAAGGCACCAGCCATGTTCAACATCCGCAATATTGGCAAGACCTTGGTCACCAGGACTCAGGGAACCAGTAAGTCTTCATAGTGTTAAATTCTCCATATGTAGGAATCGGTGCATTAACAGTCAGCATATAAGGATTGAGGCTATTTATAGTACACAAAGTGTTGGATTTTCCCCATCACCAAGGCCCCACTGATTTCCCCATACTGTCATTTTCATTCCTACATGTACTTTTTTTCCTAATGCGTTTGTTTATTCCCAACCACTTAGGAATTGCCTCTGATGGTCTGAAGGGACGTGTGTTCGAGGTGAGCCTTGCTGACCTGCAGAATGACGAGGTGGCCTTCCGCAAGTTCAAGCTCATCACCGAGGATGTTCAGGGCAAGAACTGCCTGACCAACTTCCACGGCATGGACCTGACCCGTGACAAGATGTGCTCCATGGTCAAGAAATGGCAGGTAATGATCATGGCTTTTATTTTAATACGGCAAGGCCTTCTGAAAATATCACTGTAGCCGTTGTGAGTTTGGCAACAGTAACAAATTAACATTTATTTAACCTATTCTCAAATATTTTCCACAATAAAGTATTTTATATGTATATGCCTTGGATAAAAATTAAGGATGAGTACTACTACAATGTAAGCTGGTTCTAGGAGCAGTGCTAGTGTGCAATGGAAGTTGGGTTGTGACTGGAGGGTCAGTTGGACTGTCTGGGTATGTTTCACAAAATGGTAGTTTAGGTTTCTCCTTTAAGGTGCTCGGTCAGCTCTTAGGTGCCAATTTTCTTCAGTAAAAGTTTAGAGCTGTTACTGAAAAAGCTTGAGAGTCACTGATTTAGTCAATACCACGGTTTATTATGGGAGTATTCTTAGAATATTAGAGCCAGTGGGTGAAACAGAAATATGTAAATTTGAGAACTGACTGTTTAGTTGTGAGATAACTGTTCGGTAAGTGTGAGGTCTCCTGAAGAGCAATATTCTGCACAAGTTCCGTTTAATATTAAAGCCTGAAGAGGATAGTTTGCTCCATGAAAAATGGAAGAGAAGTTCAGTTAGGCCGATTTAGTTTTTTTTCCAGCCCCTAAATAAATTATGAATCAATTTGGTTAAGCATCAAATGTACTTGTGATTCCTGAAAGAATAGTTTATGGAATGAATATGAAAGATGAGAAGTGGTTGAACATTATTCATCCTGTAGTAACGTTTGTTAAATTGCGCTTTCTAAAACTTTAACTAATGTTAAATGATAAGCGGTTACCCAACACCAAGTAAATAAAACTACAGTCTGGTGCAGATATTGTGACAATGTACCTTGTTTAAAGAAGGGAATGTGGTAAGAAGCATAGCAGCCAAAGTTCTACACAGTAATGCATATCACAAACTGAAAGGTGGCATGTTGAGACTTCTGTGGTGTAGTTTTTGTCCTATGGAGTCTAACCAGAATGCATTTGTTCTTTCTGCTTAGACTATGATTGAAGCCCATGTGGATGTGAAGACAACCGACGGCTACCTTCTGCGTCTGTTCTGTGTGGGTTTCACAAAGAAGCGCACCAACCAGATCAGAAAGACGTCTTACGCCCAGCACCAGCAGGTCCGTCAGATCCGCAAGAAGATGATGGAGATCATGACCCGCGAGGTTCAGACCAATGACCTGAAGGAAGTTGTCAACAAGATGTAAGTCATGTGCAGCTGAATGACCATTTGTTAAAAGTATTTTAAAACACTTACAAGTCTTTCAAATTGAAGCTCCGCCAAAATAAAATTCTTATTTGCTTCAAGAGGAGCCTCTGTCAATGGCTTGATTGCATTAAAATAGAAGTATCAAACATCTATTACATTTAGTTATTTACAGAGCGTCGTGGCTTTAGATGATTAAATGTTATTAATAGATAATTGTCCATGGTGACATTTTTGCAATTTTCCTTGTGCTCAGTTAAACATGCCAGTTTAAGGCTGTTTTTGACCAAATACATTCTTGGTCGACTAACGCACGAATGATTTAGTTAACGAATAGATTAGTTGGCTGTAAAACAGTTTTTTCCACAAAGAATCACACAAAAGCATCTCTTTAAATCTTGTTTACCAGAGATATGTTGCATAAATGTCTTGGAAATATGTCATTCAGTATGAAAAAATGCATAAAAATGACTAGAGAAAGCTTAGTCTATTTAGAGAAAAACAATTGGTCGTCTAAGAGGGGGTAGCTCTGTCAGTTTATGCAGACTTGTGTAGAAAGTGTTTTTGCATTAATGTGTTGATTGGTGTGTTCAGGATCCCTGACAGCGTTGGTAAGGACATTGAGAAGGCCTGCCAGTCCATCTACCCTCTACACGATGTCTTCGTTCGCAAGGTCAAGATGCTGAAGAAGCCCAAGTTTGAGTGTAAGTGATGCACGGCTGTAACACGGGCTGTGTTTTTATTTTCCACCATCGGTGGGAACGCATGATGACTCACAGTTTTGGTCCCAGATGATTGCCTGATTACTACCCATTGAGATCACCTGGTGTTCCCATGCAAGAAAACCATTCTGTTTTCATTGGTTGTGTGGAAGGGTGAAGCAGGTTATCTCACACTGGTTTCCAGGTGAAATCCTGAATGGGCTTTGAGGCGTGATGGATAAAATGTCATGACAGCATCTTTGCAGTTTTCACTTCAATCATCCAGCTGCTTAAATTTGCCAGTGTCCTCCTTGACCTTTCGTTAAAAGCTGTTTGTGTTCTGTTGCAGTGGGCAAACTGATGGAGCTCCACGGTGAGGGCGGAGCCACCAGCACTGCAAAGCCAACCGGTGATGACACTGGAGCTAAGGTGGAGAGGGCCGATGGCTATGAGCCTCCCATCCAGGAGACAGTCTAAAACACCTTTAATAAAAAATGTAAATGACCAACAAACTCTACTGTTCTCCTTCTGGCACGTGTTTTTGTGCATATAGAACTATAGGGGGTAGTATACAATATAGAAACTGGTGCAAGCTGTGAAATTAAATCCAATAGCCCTGCAAAAACCATGAAGCTTGAGACCACCATATAGTATTTATAAGGTGTAATAAAGGAGCCTAAACTGCATAAAACTACACATTTTGCATTAATTTTACCAATTCCCAATATTTGAATCCAGGGGTAACATGTGCTTCCAGTAAGTAAGACATTTTTCTGCAATGAATTGGATAATCTAATGTTGGTGAAGCTAAGCAAAACTCAACTGGTTTTGTTTTCATTAACTCGGTTACAACTATCCTTGGATAGGTTTAAGTTGTGCGTTGGTTCTACATGTAGACATTTCTTTATTCATGCATCACAGAAGTTTTCACCCTGATCTGGTAGCAACATTTTATTCCTTTCAAGGTTCTGACCTTTATTTAAGCCTCATTTCATGTAAAAATCCAGGTTACGGTAAAGTAGAAGATATCTTCAAGTAATCACACTTGAAAAATGTATATTACAACTGATGGGAGGAAAATAATGAAACCACTAGTTGGTGCAAATGCACAGTTGAAGAATCCAAAACTGCTTATGAATAAACACTACATTTAGATTGCCATCCAGCTTTACATATGTTTATATTTATTCTGTCAACACCATTATAAGTTAATGCATCAAATTAAAAAAAGATCACAATTTGTAGATGAAATGCTGCATTCCAGTTCCAGACGGTTCCCTTCAGACCTCCACGGCTGAAAACCTCTGATCTCATTTCAGTTATTGTCATCCAACAGTGTGACGTGACACTATCCCAGTACTTGCACATAGTTTTTAGGGACCAGGGCCCGTTTCCCTCTCAAGTCACCCAGGAACCATTCTTCATCAACGGGCTCCAGACCAGTTATAATATCCCCAACCTGAGAAAGAAGAGGGAGTGAGAGATCAATAGACTGGCAGTGCTTCCTAGAGACAATCTTTGTCCGTGAATTTATTCATAAAAAAAACAATCACTACCTGCAGAGAGAGCTCCTCGTCGCATTGTGACAGATAGTCGAACATTGCCCTGCCTCTACTTCCAGCAGCAGCCCCACTCTGCTGGTTATTAGACTGCTGACCTGCTGAAGAAATAACATACTTCATTAATTAATGACAAAGAATGATGCTGGTTTGACGAAACTGTCCATTTGTTTTAGAGCTGAAACAATTAATTAGTTGATAACCAACAAATGGTTTAAATACTTTTCCCCAAGTACAAATACCATGCAATACCCAGTTCAAGCTACTTAACAGTGAGTATTTGGTGCTTTTCTTTGACTAATGAAATGGTAAACTGAATATCTTGGTCAAGCCAAACCAGCAATTTGAGTCAAGAAGCCACCTTCAATACACTAATCAATTCATTGATGAAATAATTGGCAGCTGAATCAATAATAAAGTTGCTTCTCACTTTGAAATGCTACAGAACAACTTCGGTCAGTGGTGGAAGTAATATTTACATCCTTTACTTAAGTAGCAATGCCACACGGAAAACACTTCACTACAAGTTAAAAGTATTAACAGCAAAATACACTTAAGGTGTGACAAATAGTCACAGAGCAGTAAAATGTTGATGTGTAGCGTCGCTGTCCGGTGAGAACCACGTATCTTTAAAAAAGTCAAGCAAGAAAAACAGCTGTTTTCAGCTTTGAGAAGTGCATTTTCCAGCTGACTCTTTTTGAAGAAGTAGGGGAATTTTCTCAATCCATAAAGGAACACGTCATCCTTCAGTTTTTAAAAAGTTAACTGACAAATATGCAGATTCAAAAGATACATGGATTTCACTGGACAGGGAGGATATGAAAAGCTGTAGTCTGTAAAGTAACTAAAGCTGTCAGACAAATGTAGTGGAGTAATTAAAGTCATTAAATGGAAATACTCAGGTAAAGCACAGGACTTAAGTAAATGTACTTCACATTTGTGAAAAGTGTCTTTTTAAAAAGAAAATGCATTTAATTACTTGAAGAATGTAACAAAGTAGTTCACCACCACATTTGTAATTTTGAGTAGATTCACATCTTATTTTCCTAAGAGACACACAATGATTCTCCCTCTAAATATGTATCTCTATTGACACGAATGATAAGTTCAATGAGTAGGACTGATGATGATACCGAACAGTCGTTTTGCATCTTCATACCTGCGCTGCTCTCAACAAAAGCCCTGGGGAACACGCCCTCTGTGCCGTTGAGCCGGCCGCAGCTCCACTCGGCGTCAACATGGCGGCTGATCAGGATCCGGTCGCCCTCTTGAAACGACAGGTCGCCGTCTGAATTCCCATCATAGTCATACAGAGCCACCACCCACTCCACAGCGGGCTGAGACGCCTACAGAGTGAGCAGGACGAGAGGGGAGAGGATATGGTTACACACACACACTTACAACATTCAGCTGGAACAAACTTTTAGCAGATTGTTTGTTTGTTTTACGGGACACATTGGGTGTGTCGCCAAACCGCCACCATTGTGTTTGATGTTTCTGTTAACATAAATGTGTGTTACCTGAGCAGGTTTGGCCGCTTCAGTGTGCGTACTCGGAGAAGAAACCATGCCTGTGGGACAAAATGATGAACAGGTTCGTAAAAAGGTAACGCATACCATCCCATCAGGAAACAAAATAGAAAAATTAGAAATGTGTGGGCACACTTAGGTATTATTAACATATTGATGTGTAACTGACATGATGCAGTGTCTCCTCTGTATTCTTTGTAGAGTTTTACCTGGTGGGGAGTTTACACTTTATATAATATATTTAAAGTATGCAATAATGTATTTGTGTAAAACGTGTTACATTTGCATACTCCTGTATTTTTATACTGAGTAAATTTACGGCCAACAAATTACATCCACAAATGTAATATTTATATCAATAAGATTCAGTATTTCTCAACCAGAATGTAACTCAAAAGGCCGATAAAACATCTTAAAGTTCCCGATGGGAGGTAAAACTTCAATTTATGTCCCTAAATATTTTCCAGAAAGGGTTCCTAGAAATAACCATGTCATCTGCTACTAACTATAGGGAAGACAAAGTTATGTCAAAGTTTTTTCATAAAAAGTTGTTTCTTACATAAAGAAACCTACAGACATTATACTTCAACAGCTAACTGAATAAATAAAATATGATTGGAAAACTTTGTAAGGACGGATTTCATCTCATGGCTGAGTGTGTTGAGACCTTTTGTAAACAGCTATTTAATGAAATAGAAACAATTCCTGGCATGCCACAGAGGGAGGCGCCACACACTGATGCACAAAGTTGCTCTTTTGTTTCAATAAGAGGATCAAGAGGATAACATACTGCTGTAGTATTAGGGTTCCCATTTTAAGACAAAATGTGTGATACAAGTTCAGCTAACCTTTGGTGGCCAAATCGGCACATTGTGAAAAGAGTGAATGAATTTAGTCTCAGCCCTTCCAGGTACTATTACCAGGCAGTGGTATCCTGATGGACTGTCTCTTCTGCTGTCTTGGGGCTGTAGGCAGATCTTCAATGACCTCTACAAAGTTAAGAGGGAAGATACCCGTCGAGGCGCCAATCTGTCCCCGAGCCCAGTCCTGTCCAACCAACGCCTTCAGCTGGATCACATCGCCCTCAGAGAACGACAGCTCACCGCTGTTCTCCCTCTCAAAGTCAAACCTCGCCACGCATCTCGGACCGCTTTGGTGGAGGCCGCAACATTTTCAGATGTCGGGTTAGTTCATCAGGGTGGTTTGTAAAGGCGAGTGCAAAGAGTTTATCAGGTAAAAGAAACCTTACCTGACTGCTGCAGATGGTGGCCTCGCTTTCCGTTCAGGGAGCGGTTTTGGGGAATTTGACTAGTTGGAGAAATGATAATTCTTTTATTTAGGAAATCCTTAATCGTAGTAAACATTTAACCATAGACCAATGCAGTGCAAGAATGGATTTCAATGGTTGAAACTTACAAGTACTTTGACATAATTGGCCGGAAAGAAACCGGAAGATCCCCTACAAGTGCCTCTGTACCACTCGCTGTCCACCTGCTCCACCATGGTCACAACATCTCCTGCTCTCAGACCCAGCTCTCCTGGACCCTCTGTGTGTGCAGAACAAACAGCTGTTCATGGCGGCATTAACATAATCTGAACACGTTCTGCCAAATGCAAAACAACAAATAATTCGAAGAGTTCTAGTTATACGCTACTTTGGATTATCTTCCAACAGCCAGTATCTATACTTTAAAAAACATGCATCACAATAATAGTTTGACATTTTGGGCGATTTGCTTTTTTGAGAATCTCCTATCTGTGCATTATGGACCTGAAATCAGGGAGCGGTTAGCCTTGCTTAGCTTAGCCTAGCATTAAGATGGGAAGCAGGGAGAAACAGCTAGCTGTCTCTCGCTCTCTTAAGTGCAAAAATATCATAAATCTTTCTTTTTAAGTTTCTGTTTGTCTTTGAATAAACACATTCTTCCTACTCCTCAAAAGCGCAGAATTTAGTTAATCCGTGTACGTATTTTTTACCAAAATGTTAAACTATTCTTTCAATATATTGCCTCATGTTTGTGTTCTTGTCTAATCTCAGTCAGTATTTGCAGCTGTTTGGGTTTTAAAAAACAACAACTGATGTGTCACCTGGATTGAAGTCATGTATGGCCTGCACCTTAAGCTCAGAACCAGCTCCACCTGAACCGGCATCCTATAGGGAGAGAGAGGTTAATGTAACAGAGCCCTCTGGGCAAGATAGACTCAAGTGTCAAAGAAATGGTTTACTCATAAATATCACCTGTGGCGGGTGCTTGTGTGAGACGGAGGAAACGGGAGTTATGACCGTCATGTGAGACTTGTGTACTCTGCCTCTGGTGTCTCCAACTTGGCACTCAAACATATTGTGGTCTATCTCATCTAGCAGCAGGAGCACCTCGTTTTTCTATTGAAAAGGACAACAAAGGTTATTCACTTTTGCTGAATCAACTATATGGATGTCTTGGAGCGGTTTTAGAAGGATAGTAGTGCACTTTTATGTTAAGGCAACATGTAAGCCAATAAAAGTAGTTCAGACACCTGAAATGACAGTTCTCCTGTGTCACTCCCATTGTAGTCGAAGGAAGCAATCCCATGAGGAAGTTGAAGCTGTTGAATGACAGCAAAAATGAAACCAGTGCTCATCAAGTGGCATTTGAAACATGCATTAATCGTGCAGTGGGATCTTTCTCACGGTGTATTTGTTGTAGAGACGGTGGCCGGGGTTGGGCCTTGGAGGTACGACAGCTCCTTTCCTGTGGGGCTTCTGTGTCTGGGGTTTAGGTGAAGCTTCCAATTGTGCTGAATGGGATCGACCTAGGGCCTGAAGGCTGGGTGCGGGAGGTCTTCCCGGGCCCGTTTTGGCTAGAGGTGGGCGAGGAGGAAGGGTTTTGCTCCTCGAAGTCAGCCTCCTGAAGGGCAACACCATCATCAAGTTAAGTAGCATGCCTACAAAGTACCATCGTCTGACGTTTAAATTTGTACTGAATTCTTTCCACTCTCACTCACCGAGGTGGTAGTGATGGCTCTGGCCCAGACGGGAAAGACTCCTGCAGAAAAATCCAATTGGGCATTTATATTGCCACTAAAACACACTCACAGCCTACAGCACTGGGAACCATAGAAACCAGGCTACAACACATAGCATTCAGCCAGAACTCGCTTCAGCTCAACAGCAGGCGACATGTTCAAGGGACTACAATGGTCTCTTTGCTTATGGAGATGCAGGGAAACTACACAGCTGATAGACTAGATAAACCTGATTGAGAGAGACTTTATGGGATCCAAATGTTCCACCTCATAGTTTATAAGTACATATACACTAATAGCACAAAGCCCTGTGATTAGACAATATTTCTGAATGAAGGCTGAAATACATGAAAACGACCTCTTCTGTGGTGTTCAGAGGGTTTGCAGAGTTTATAGGTTAATTATTTCTCAGTGGGATGCAAATTTTACCTGGTGGGGGAGGGTGGGCGTCTGGCTTTGTCTGCGATTCACTGAAGTGTTTAGGGAGCCTATGGGCTTCTGAGCAGGGAGAGGAGGGGGGGTGTCCTCAAAGTTATCCGACACTGAGGAAAAAATAAAACTCTCTTTACCACAACTTTCTGCTCCAGAAGTGATGTGCAGAAAGAAAGTATTTTAACTCCAATATATTTTGACGGTTATCACATGAGGTTTGCTGTATCAGAGGGACTCACATGAACCGGTTTTGCTGGGGACCATGATGGTGGTTGGTCTCCGTGTCATACTTGGTCTGGGCGAAGAGCCTCCATTGCCGTCTACAGGTTTGACCGCGATGTGATCTGAACAAGGAGACACTTGACTGTAGCTGTGTTTTTTACACAATGTAAACAAGGACAACACTGTTTTAGTTGGTCATTTGTGATCCAGCACAGAAGTACTTCTTCTATTCGGTGATTGAGACGATTTTTGTAACTTGATTTGTTGTAAAAAGAACTAGTTCAGAGTAAATATCTAAATATTTGAGATACTAAGTATTAAAGGCCTCTGGATTGTGAGCAAATAAATGTGACTGAGCCCTTTGATTTAAGGCTCGAGGGGACCCAAGTCAGAGAACACACTACATACTTGATCTGACACAAGATCTTTGATCTTAATCAAAAAAAATGTATCAATAGATGAATCTATAATGAAAATGTTACGTAGAGTGCATTGCTACAGACCGCTGTCTTTTGTCTTACACAATATAGAAGTAATAAAAATAAACTGCTACTCACTTGATGGACTGTCCACATACACATTCTCTGTGACCCTAGAAGTTGAGTTGTGGTTGTTTATATTAAGGTTGGGTTTCAGAGGTTCCTTAAAAGGCTTCACTGGACGTGTCGGAGGGACTGGCGGCGTGTCCTCTTCATGGATGCTGTTGTCTCTGGTCAATACAGAAGGACGTGATCTCTTATTGAGTACAATCTCCAGTTCCTCTTTTACAGGTAGTTCTACAGGTTTCCTCGGGGGCACAGGTCTTGGGGCGGTTGAAGGGATTTGGGGGACGTTTGTGATTGATACGTTTTGATAGTCATTATCTACACTGTTGATTAACTGAAGTTTAAGAGCGACAGAAGGTTTAGCAGCAACTGAAGGTTTGTTGGTCGCCTTCCTGGGTGCGGGTTGTGGTTTGGCCAGCTCAACCGCATTTCCATCCTCGGTGCTAGCCTGGGTCTCAAAGGCCTGGATCCTGGCCCGGATATTGCGTTGACTGTGGTTGGTGCTCATTTCGCCACCTGCATCCTCACCTTGTAAGGCCTCGTCCGATTGGTTGGCGTAGCCGCCGTTCTCCGCACACTCGTTATCCGCACTAAAGACCTCCAATAACTCCTTTAAATACTTATTGGAGGAGACCGCTTCTGGATCCAATTGAATGCTGTCACAATGTTCACTGAGCTTGACCAAAGTCTGAACTTTGACCTCGTTTGTGGTCGCCTGCTTTTGGGGTTTCGTACGAGGAAGTGGAACGGGGCGTCGGCTGTGCTCTGAGTCAGGTGAAGAGGGAGTAGTTTCAGCAGTGACAGAGAGAGGAATGTCCCAGTGTACAGTCACAGATCTACTGCAGGTGTGAGTGGAACCTGATTGGTCGGGTTGCTTTACATCTGACTCAGCATCACTTTGGTCCTCAGCCTTTGTGGATACTAGAGTATTAGTCCCACCTGGTTTCGGTAGTGACGGCCTCTGTGGTTTTTGAGGCTTTTTACCTGGAAGGAAATGTAATCATCATGAAAGAATCACCATGTAGAGCAGAAATAACCGTCACCCACAAAGATGATTCTCCTATGCCTCACCTGCAGGTCTTTTCCCTGCCGACTGTGGAGCAGCAGCACTGGTGTCTTCCCTCACAGGGTCAGTCTGCGTGGCACTTGTGATGCTGCAGGTTGTCCGACGGGGGGCTGCAGTAGGTTTGACAATGTGCTCTTCCTGGGTCTTCTCATGAATCACCTGGTCATAGGATGGTGGGGGCTAAGTCATGAGAAAGACACACCAGCACACATTGTTATCCCATATAGTATAACATTTCTGCTTATGGTACCTGCTGAGTGCATTAGGGTCGTTTTTAAGTGATGTTCTCAAACTTTAAAGAAAAAAACATCGACAATTCAAAACATACACCCTGTGTGTTAGGCTGACTCCAGTCTTTTTAGATCGAATTCTACTACTTTAGGCCAACAGATTTCTCCACCTAAACTTTAGCAGTGTGGATATGTGTGGATATTTAGACCTTCATGGTTTGGTGTCTGTTCAAAAGATTCTGGGAGAGGGAACTTCAAAATTCTGGCTTTATTTACTTATTTATTTTTTATTCGTGGACAGCACAGAACCACAAGCATAAAAAAAAAAAAAAAAAACATATTCTAGATACTGGCCTGTCTGAAGAACCAAGCTTTGTTCACTGATGAAACTCAATATGTCCATCAGATGAGGCCTACCTGGGGAACAGCCTGGATGCCTGCAGACCAGCCTGACGGAGGAGGATGAGGGAAAACCACAGAGTTTCCTGAGAACCAGTTGTTACTGACCAGAGGTCCGGCTGAGACGATGGTGATCTCTGGTCGCCTGAAATACAAACCACAGATATCTATGACATCAATTCAGTACACCAAAATGCACATCCACATCCAGTCCACCTTACAAGTGATTTATTCCTCGTCGATAATTTGATTTCTTTCTTAGCCTAACTGGAAACATACAGTGCTCCTATTAGGGTTATCAGTAATGAGAAGCAAAATGATTGTTTACATTACCTTCTTTCTCTGGTGTGGTCACTCTGACAGTTTGTTCTTGCTGAAGGAAGAAAGATCATATTAATTATGTGTCATAGATTTCCCTGCACAGATTAGTTTTTTACCTCTAAAAATACATAAACATATTTTACAGACATTCATTTTACATTTGTGCAAACATGACAGTTTAATTTCCATTTGTCAACATTAGTAAAAAATACAACTGTGTTGTCACTTTTCTGAAGGAATATTATTATTCATCCTGAAAAAGTTGCCAACTCTCCCATAAAAGATCTTTCATCTTCTACAAAACTTATTCAAAGAATTATCCCTTTAAGTGTTATCAAAGCGTTGACTTACTTTGTTTGACAGCAGCTCGTATAGACGGCAGAGGCCCTTGACTGAAGAGAAAACAGAACAGGAGGCCCATTTATCATTAAGGTGTGGAGAGCGGGTTCATACCTCTGTGGTGACTCAATCATTAAAAAGAAAATGTCTTTCCTCGCCCCAGAGCAATGTCACACTATACGCTCCATCTATACTGCTACTTTATGCTGTTGCTGCCAAGTTATGTTAAGAGAACAATAACATCCCTGCAAATGCTGTACAAGTCGAAATCCACCAACCTTACAAAAACATGGTGTCCATGAGGTACCTCTTCCAGGTAAACACTCCTACAACCCTTTTCACACAACTCCCTCTCTACACACAATTTGACACGGTTACATATCCTCAGGCCGTTTACCTCTAAATGTGTAAAGATTATTTTCTCATCCTTAAATTACATCACAAGCAACATTATGAGTCTTTGTGCTGAAGAGATTAAACTATTGTGATGCTCTCACGCCGACACAAACACTAAATTCTCTTGACAGTGGAGGCGGGCGCATCATTAACACACATCCTGCTCATTAAGGACCGCCTGCAAGACGTTGATGTAAACTATCTGGGGGGGGGGGGGGGACCAACAATCCTGGCCCTGGTTACGAGAGATACCGCGTGGTTTATTTAATTGATTAGCTCAGTTGTAAACACGACATGCTGTGTGATCTGTCATAGTTTAAAGGACTTCCCAGATCTCTATGATAAGTGTCAGTTAGGAGGCTATCCTTTGCTTTATGTCTCTAAACAACAACTAAAAAAAAGCAGCATGACGTGTTTGTCCCCATGCTGACCTTCTGATGGTCAGTGAGGGTGATCAGTGCATTGTTTTGGTCCATTCACAACCTCACCAGCGTCAGCAGATCTGACCGTTAAAGTGACAGTGCCCCGTTTCAGCAACAGGGTTTGGTTAAACTTAACAACCGTTAGTAGTCATGCACAAAGAAAATAAATGACATACCTTGAATGTAAATGATCCGGCTTGGTTCTTTTGAGATCATCTGCAGAGAAAAAACAGAGAGGTGCAGGTTTTAAACGTGATGTGGAGCAACAAAGACAACATCCTGGCACTTATCAACATCAATCTATTCTAATAATCTATACAGTCTATTTACGTCTAATCTGGTGAATTAAATACCTGACAAATCCAGACACTTTATCACATTGATGGAACAATTACACTATGGGTAATATATAAACATATGAAATACATTTCTAAACTGTTGATCTAATAGGGATGAAAACACAATTAAAGCTGAGGGTCAAAACTTTGAAAGAACTATGGGTTAATACTGAAACGTAGGGTAACATGAGCAGAAATACAGAAATAACAAGGCAATCGTCATCAGTAATGTCAGTTACTCAAAAATATATATTTATAGTTTGCTAACATTAGCCATCATAAGCTACCAGACCAAGTAAGACATTTCTCATTTGAAACAGAAACAATTTGATATTTCAGTTTTACTTTAAGATGTAGTCATCGTTTCATATAAAATACTACCTGCTACTTACAGACGGGACTGTATGAACTAGAAATACAAGAACCGTAATCAGCCATTACATCTCGATGAACCAGTCAGTTTAAAGTTACTCAGCATCTAAATTTACAAATGGTTACGTCACCATGAGGAGCAATGCAATAACGTCCCTCATTTTTACATTTTATTAATTTTCATTTAATATCTTCTGTCATCAGAAATAATACAATAGATAGAGTGACAGAATCATCTGTACTGTAACTGGATAATGCAACAACAAAACAATCAAACGTTTAGCAATATAACTGAACATAACTGCATTGCACATCATAGAAATGGACGCAGCACAGTCAAAAGATACTGCGTTGTGTTAATGTGATTCTATAATAATAATGCCAGGTGGTCCTGCAGATTAGGGATCTGTTGAGTGGAAGTCAAAATTAAAATGATAGATTTCATAACGATGTTCAGTGTGTAACCCTAAAGTCAAATTAACTGGTACTTTCCCACATGCAACTTCAGACACACAGAACACTTTGCACTAGTATTCCCGGTCCTCGCATGGCAGTGAGCTGAATTTCATGTTAATCAACCAGCTGTAGAGAAGCAATCACTGTCTATTAGTTAACAGCTAGAATAAGGAGCAATATCTGTAATGCAAACCATCTAATCCACTAAAATATCATTTGTTTCCTCGTGTTTGAGATAAAACCTCTGTAGACCAATATCAAAAAAAAAAAACAAAGGAAAGTAATGGAAGTCTGCATTGTTGTTATTGCCTCGAGCCTGATTGGCAGTCAAGTTCACCTGTTCCTTGTTATCTGTTGGTGCCACAGAGCTACTGCCTCAAATTACACTTCAACAACATGTGAGAAGAAGAGATTCTGCACTTTCATTCAACGACAAAAGAAATATTTTTTATCAACCTCCGGACAAAGTGTTAAGCTCTGTTACTTCACCCAACCATTTCCTTGTAAATATGCAGTCTGATATACATGACGTAATAGTACAGGTGGTTAACTTTACTTTCACTTGCGTGTGTGATGTGCCGTTGCCCTCTCTTGTGATAGATATGATGCCCCTACCTGCGAGGAATTAAAGGAATAAATATCAAATCCTCAGCATCAAAAGAGTATTCCCATTAGGATCCTCCCTCCATCGAGTGTCTGAGCGTGATGGACGACTTGAAGCCAGTCACCGCAGACAACAGAAAAGAGAGGGAGGGCCCTGTGATATCTCGGCTCTGCTGTGTTTACTTGGCCAATCTAATGAACTGGAATGTGGTCAATCAGGAAGTGCTGTTTGTGTCACACAAAGCTGTCCCGTCACTGTCCTTTCCCTACAAAGTAAAAGGTCACATCATTAAAAAAGTTTAAAAGGAATTGAATGATTGACAGCTTTGGTTGTAACTCTACTATAAGTCGTAAAGCTGCCGTTTGGCTGCAAATTGAACTGATATGCATCAATGAACTAATCAAACTTTACATTTATCGAGCATCTTTCACCCAGGTTAAGAGATAATATCCAATTAAAAAAAGATATAATTCGGATAAAATGATGCAATGTCTAATAGCATAGAGCTATTCATGCCATTTCGTTGCCATGAAAACAACAGCTGGCTGGCGGCTCTGTGAGGCTGAGAATGTCATGTCAATTATTTACTTTTAGTTTATAATTTATATTTAACCTTAAAACCTGATGAGAGCAATACACTTGAGAAAATTGAAAACCCTGCCGCATTTCTTCACGAAAACCATTTACACTTGATAAGGTTTTTGATTTTATTTCCAATCAGCAAACATCCCTTGGTATTTGAGGGCCACCGTCACATGAAAAGACAACAAAACGCACGAGAAAGCTGCTGAGGTCAGCAGGAAAGGATTCCCTTCACAGCTGCAGTGTCTCTTGAACACATGCTGACATTACTCAGCACAGCGGCAGCAGTCACAGGGCAGCTGGTGAAACGGCTGGCGACAAAGGGAAAGAAAGAAAAACATTTTCGAACTTCTCACTTGTGAAGTCAGAGGTGAGAAGAAGTCTGATAAAGAGCTTAGTTCCTCTCCAAATTCGGCCAAAGTGGCTTTTCCCAGCTGGGCAAGTGTGCTGATTCAACTCAACACCTTTGTTGCTGTTCACAGATCATTGAGCAAAACAGATTTGCCCTCAGTTGAAAAACAAGACAGATGATGGCGTCATGACTGACTAACACAATGACAGCAGCAGCTGATCTGGACCTTCAGCCAGAGACGATTAGACGGTGTCCATGCAGACCAGCGGAAAACACCTGAAACGGCATCTGACGTGGGCCCAGTGATGGTGGAATGAATCATATTAAAACACTGCTCTGCAAGGATGGGAAAAACTGCATCATGTACAGAAAGGAACAGCCCGTCTGCACGGACGGACTGTCAGCATCCAGACAGCTGGTCTGGGGTCAGGGTGTGGTTGGGGAGGGGTAAGTCTGTTTGCACAGCAGGTGTTGCTAAAAAAATAGAAAAAGAAAAGAGGAACAAAGACATAGAGGGTCCAATTCAAACAAAGGCCTGAGACAGTTTCAATACTTGTATGTGAGGCAGCTGACTGAAAATGAAAGCCGTTCATTAATCACAGGCTGAATGCTGACACTACGAATCTGTAAGCAAGTCAAAACCATGAGGATCAAGAGAGTCGTCTTTTAAGTGACACGTGTTGCTGAGAGGTGTGTGGGCCAAAGTTTCTATAAATGGGAAGGTAAATGACTGTAATAAGGTGACAGACAGGTTTCAACAATTTAACTAAATGAAAACCGATTGCACTTTAGTATTTTGTGTTAAATGTAAAAAAAAAATTGCATATGAACTTAAGCCTTTTTTGTTTGATTCCACCCAGGAGACCAAAACACAAACCAGCTTACTGCTTCTTATTGTAAGAGTTTTGCGTCTCATAGCAACTGAGGGAGTGCAGAGGTATGAAAGCACAGCTATTAACACACTGGTGAAGACATTTAAATGTCTTAAGATCAATCTGTTCAGACATTAAGAAAACAAACCATACATTCATACTGTAGGCAGCTGTGTGTCAGGTTTCAGCAGCTTGTGATAACAACACAAGTAATTGAGTAGTTAAAGGTCCAAACCTTTGTTTTTTGTTTTTGTTGGTAGCATAGCATATCTACAAATCACGCAGACTTTGCACTCTTGCTGTGCAGTAAAATTAATGTTTGATGTGTTTCTCCTTGTGTTCCAAGGCTCCATTAGCTTCCATTCATTTGTGAATGGCATTGGAATTAAATAGCAGACTCTTGTCATTCTGTTCCCCAACAACCAGAATGTAAAGTCACGTTTTCACTTTGGTTCCACATGTTTCAAGCGTTCTATTTTCATTTAGTACATAAAGTAATGAATGAAACAGCGGTTGCCTGGTGGGACAATACACCCGCATCTGTTATATGATTAGCTGTGGTGTCAAAAATTATTTTTATTGCAAATTGGTGTAACAATTCAACAATTGTTAGCAATAAACGTGTCCCTCCGCTCTAAAAAGCCTAAACACATACACATTAATGTAATTAATGTAAGTAATGATGAACTGACGACTTATTTTAAGTCTCCGTTAGATGATTCAGGAAACAGTTTGGATTGTCAGCCTGTTACATACCCAAACAAACATACCTGTTGCCTGGGTTCTGTGCCGGACGTCCCGCTGATCTCGGCGCTCCCCCTCTTCCTCATCTTCACGCCGGGCTTCGGCCATCGCGGTTTAAAACAATGCAGAAGAAAAACAAATTACACCATAAATCCTTTATTCAAAAGTGTTGCTGGTTCATCTGCCTCCACGGTCGATGAAGCATGGGTTACTGTCCCCGACCACCGGATGTTTCGGTGCGTCTCTGCCCACAGCAGCCCTCTCTCTGCCCCGCGGTGGGCGGAGGTGGTGCCACTCACCGTCAGGACCCCAACGGGCAACACGGTCACTCTTACACATGGCAGAGCAGGATCAACCCACTCCTACTACCAATAATATGATTCAATTAGGAACGGAGAAAGTATGTGTAGACCTCTGATTTGTATGCATTTTTTAATGTATGTATGAATGTAATGAATGTATGTGATAACAAGACCCCAGTGTTCTCTTTACAGCAGAAATCTCTGACAGCTTCTACTGAAACTTTTCAAGATGTGAAGTTTGCTGATGTTCACAAGTCGTTTGTTGTGTCATGTGTCTACTGTAGTTCCTTCGTGCAGCTTTTTAATATCTCTCCACTCTAAATGTCTTTGGAAGGCCTATGCCATCTGTAATACATTGGTGGAAAGTAACTAAGTACATTTACTCAAGTACTGTTGTGACATTTTGAGGTACTGGTCCATTTAATACTTGTATTCCTGTCAGAGGGAAATAATGTACTTTTTACTCCACTACATTTATTGTCTTTAGTAACATTATGATTGCAGGACTTTTCCTTGTAACAGAGTATTTCTACACGGTGGTATCTCAATACATTTCCACTAGATGTCACTATAGGCCTGGGCATCTTTATAATCTGATAAAAAAAAATGTCTCTTTCATTTGAACCAGTGCCAAGATTTTCAGTTAGTAGAAATCACCACGGAGGAATACTGGGGAATTGTGTCCATGGAATTACTTGTAACTGCTTGAATTGTGACTTGAGCTTAAAATATCCATCAGTCAAGCATACATCAACCTTTGTCACAACTCCACTGTATAATTTCATGCTGATTACATATCATGTCAACATGGACAAAATAAGCAATGTCTTAATTTATGGATCAACTTGGCTGGGAATAAGAGATATTTGTACCAAATAAGACACAGAGGCAAATGAGACGAATTTGTCACATATAGATTTGATTCATCCTGCCCTTGTACCTCCCCTTCTTGTCCAGCAGGTGGCGACATACTGTAGAAATCAGAATTTTCTAATCATATCTGTTATTTTGATCGCGTCTTGATAAAATTAACCATGATGCCTTTTTACCTGCTTACAGATCATTAGGATTAGGCTGATTTTATAAACTACAGCAATGAGATTCTGCATCCAAATAAAGGTTTCAACTGCAATAAGCAATCTGTTTTTATTCAGAGGGGTGTTGCCTCACATTTAAATGGATTAACCGTGTCAACGTTTTAACCCAAATATTATTTACACTTTACAGTGAGCTATTATTGCTGTTATTACTCATCATTTCTCACCGGTTTATTCCTCACGAGGGAAACTAACACTCCTCCAGTGGATGTGGGCCTGTTGTGTCTCAGTGGGAGGAGCGTTCAAAATGAGGATTAATGCGGTTTCACCTATGTGTGTGTGTGTGTGTGTGTGTTTGTGTGCGCGCGCCGCGGACCAGGTTAAGTAGCTCGATTACACGTATAATAACTCCGCGTACTGGAATGAAAGGGGGACATTATGGAGCTGTGATAAGAAGCGACTCTGCTATTTATTCCTGAGAAGAAACAGCGGGAGTGTGTTTGAGGTGAAACCTGCTGGTCGACGACGTTCAAACTGCTGAGCGCTCTTTACAAAAACCGGAGAGGATCCGTCCCACGGTAAGAAAGAAGGAAAAAGTATTGTTCACAGTTGTAGCTTTATCTCACTTGTTATATGATAACACGGCAGGGACATGGCTGGTGTTGTTTGTCCATGTGCGTGTTTTATTTGACAGTTGCGGAGTCTGTGATCGACATGTGCGGGTGGGTTGAAGGGTCGGGTTTCAGAGCAACCAGAGGTCTCTGCCGGGTTTACTGAGGGATTCCCAGTGAAAAATGACCACCAGTCTGTGCGTCCTTCTGAAGTGAAATAAGTAAAACACTCTTCCGTGTTTCCACTTTGCCTCCCTGTTGTGTCCTCACCGTAGAGACAAAGTGGACCCGCCCTGTCTCTAATCATAGCTCACAATTTCTGCAACTTCAGCACACGAACAAGTCGCAGCTTAGTTACATGTTTACAAATATATCTGGTTTCTTAATCTTGCGTAAACTTTCAGTGCTCGCAGCGTCTTTCCTTTATTTTATCCACGCGCTGTTGTTTATCATCTCCAAAAAAAAAAAAAAAGTTATTTTACAGCAGGAGTCTGAGGTGTAGCCTACCTGTCCTGATTCGGATTCACCTTTCGGGCTCCTAATGAGCTTTGGCCTCGGATGTTCACTGTGAGGGAGGCAGAAAGCAGCCGGTGTTGAGTTACACAGCAAACAGCATTAATATTTCATGGCTGGCCATCCCGTGTGAGTGTCGCTCCTTTACAGGTGCTCTCTTCCCTCCTGCCAAATCAATGTGATCCACAGTCAGCTGATGGAAACTGAGCGTTTGAGGCCAGTTTCTGGGGGGGGGAAAGATGTCAAACTGTTTGTTGTCCAGGTTTCTCCCCCTCTCTGTTTCATCCAGATTTATCCCTCAGCTAAAGAGAAGTTATATTTCCACCATGTTAGTTTGTGTGTTTGTAAGTTAGCTGGATATTTCAAAAGCTGGTAAACAGAAGGATATTTCTTGGGGCTGCAATTAACTATTTCAATTATTGTCACGATCAGGCTTTGCCTTGTGTGTTCTGTGTGTGTTTTCTGTAGCTCCTCACTCTACCTGTCAGCCTCTAACTCAGCCACTCCCTCAGCACCAGTCCAACTCAGCCACTCCCTCAG